TAGTTGCACATCATAATGTAAGTATGTCTCTGATTTGAGATGCTTAATTGGAGAAAATTCTATTTACTTTTTCTATTCATTTTCAATTTACTTGTGTGGTCTCTTCTGCTCCCTACTTCAGAGAGAGCATTTCCCATTTCTGGAAGAATATAGATGCTCCAAGAGTAGAACGACCTTCTATTACATTATTGGCTGGTTAATCTTCATGGAGGACAGTCCTGTCTTATTTAAGTCTTCTATGGCTCCACTGTTGAAGGTATAGTCCTCCCTCCTCCCCACACCCTGCACTCTCTTTCTTTTATCTCCACTGCAAAATATGGGATATCCTATAACTTAATAATTGGAAGCATGTTAACATGTCAAAATTTTGAGCAGTAAATAAATGAAGCATCAACATTCCCAAAATGGTTGGTTTCATGTTGTGTTACCCCCCACAGGATTTTGTGATAAATATCCATTGACTTCTTAATGAAAATATTTGACAGCAGCTATATATATATATATATTTTTTTTTTTTGGCCAATGGAAGGGTATGTTACGTTACCTGGAAACAGGAGTAATTGTTAGGTTATAACTTTTGATGAAGGAAAATTTTTCTATTAAGTATTTCCAGAAAATTTACTTTTAAAATTTAGGGGGAAAAAATAGTGTGTCAGGTACAAAGACCATCTCTGCTTCTCTAGATAGGCCAAAAAATATTTGTATTTTTGGATAGAATAAACTTCAGGGGTATGTGGTTCCTTTGCACAACATGCACAAAGGAAAGTGACAAACAATTATATTCTTTTACATTCATTCATTCTGCAAACATCATCGTCCATATAGTTCAGTGAATGTAATTTTCTTAAATTTCTGTATATTCATTGCTGGTGGGTTTTATGAAATGTTTTTGGGTATTGTTTAGGTTTTTATCACTTTAGAATCAACACCAGATGCAATGTTTCGAACTGATACTGTGAAATATGCATTGATTGGATTGATGAGAGATCTTAGGGGGATTGCAATGGCTACGAATAGGTCAGTATTTATAATTATGAGCTATCTCCTCATGATGGATACCATTATTGATTGCATTGACTCTTGTCATTAATTTTTTTCCAGTCGCAGAACTTACGGGTTTCTATTTGATTGGTTATATCCTGTTCACATGCCAATTGTTTTGAGGGGCGTCTCACATTGGGCTGATACACCAGAGGTCAGTTATGCTTGCTGATAGTATTAATTTTTTATAAGAGAACATGAAAAGTTAAACAAAAATTGCACCGACTGGAAGACTTGCTTCAGCAGTATCGTCAAAAGTTATACATGTAGCAAGTATGTGCCAAAATAATTGAGTTTTGTTCATTGTAAGATCATATGTTGCATGAACTTATAACAGAGAAAATAAGTATGCAATAGTTCTGGCTATATCTTGAGTAGGAGCATCTTAAGTTATAAATTATAATATATATGACTAAAATTAGATATTTAATACATTCTAGGTAATATTGATTTTGGCTTGGGACGAAATTGAGGCTTTGGAAGATTTATATATCTCATTTTTCTGTTCCAATTGATCTATAATTTCTGATCCAATAATTATATGGTCTACAGTACATAACTGGTTGTTTAGCCTAGCTATCTATGAATAGGTGGTAGATACCAATTTCAGGAGTGTACAGGCTTCTTCCACATGGATATATTGCAAAAAAAATATACGTGTATTGCTGCCTTACAGCTCAATGCAATTAGATTTTCATAGATGCTTTTACAGAAATAAATAATGACATTTCTGTTCTCTTCCTGCTTTGCTATAAATTTGGTAATTCCAGGCAGTTATTTTCTATCTGGTTAAAATCAGGATTGAGAAAACAATTAGCTCATTTTTTCTTGGTAATAATGTTATGGTTTCACTATTTTACTCCATCAGATATTTATGCTGGCATAATTGCACTTTTTACTTCTGTTCTCTTTATCTCCAAACTATTGAAAATTCTATGTGTTGCTGTGTTGAGTTATTGAGAATTTTTATGCTAGAAAAGCCCCTTCTATTCTGAGAATCTGTTTGGTGTTGCATTCTACATGCACCCCCCAAGCTGAACACATAAGAAAGAAGAAACTTCTTTAATTATAGAGGAAGATAACATTTTTTTCTGTAATTTTGCTTAACATGAATGAAACTCACTCTATAACTTTATGATTGATTTTTGCAGGTTACAACACCATTGCTGAAATTCATGGCTGAGTTTGTGTTAAACAAGGCTCAACGCGTGACTTTCGATACTTCATCTCCTAATGGCATACTTCTTTTTAGAGAAGTTAGCAAATTGCTTGTTGCATATGGCTCAAGGATCTTGTCTCTTTCAAAGGCTACTGATATATATGCCTTCAAATACAAGGGCATATGGATTTCTTTAACTATTCTTTCTAGAGGTAAATTTTCCTTTGCTCCATACATCAGAGTATCATCTTGGTTTTAGTCTCCTAAAGGCTAAATCATATGATCCTTCTCCATGGCATTCATATTTTTTTTAATTATTTTTTCTCCTTCCCCCTTTCTTTTATTACCATAAACATATTTAGAGGCAGGCTAAATTTTATTTTTATGCAGGAATGAAGTTTCATCTTTTACA